TAATTTTCCCATAGCACTTAGCATTATCTGACATAGTGTATGAATGCTGGATTATTTATTTCCTCTGTCTCCTCCCATTAGAATGGAAGCTCCTTTAAAGAGCTGTGAATAGTGCCTGGAAAACAACAGGTACTCAATTAATAGCACTTAAGTAAATGAACAATAATAATAATAAGAAGAATAGAACCAAGTATCAGTGGAGATTGACTGACCTTGTGTTAACTAGGAAGAAATTATATGGCATTCTCTACATCTGCTTTCTACATAGTTAACACTGACATCATTCTTTTTAAACTTATAAAAGTTTTAGTGTATTATTTTAATAACTGCTAGTTTCTCTCACTAAGCACATTTTCTTGAGAATCCTTCACTGTTGTGGTCAAAGAAGTGTCAGATTTGAACTAATGGGATGTTCTTCTTGCCCTGTCCTGGGTTTGTGTGTATGTTGGTCTTAAGTATCCTCTTCTGTGTGCCACAATGAGAGTAGTCCTGGCACTGGAGTTGTGGTAGCCGATGCCTTCCTTTGGGGACCTGATCACCAGCTCCTGTTTGTGCTGGCTTACATAGTTTGCATAAATTGTGATGGAAGCTTTATATTTCCACAGCAAACTCTGCATCATGCTTGCTGCCTGTTTGGTATGTTCCCTTTGGAATGTGTTCTCTCTCTCTCTCTCTCTGTCACTTGTGTACATTTTTATTTTCACACTGTGGTTCCTGCAAGACCTTCAATATTTTTTTCTTTGCTGCATTCTCTGCATTTTTTTCTTGTAACCTAGAGGGATGGTGAAAGTTTTGTTTTGCTCCCTTGGGTCAGAAGAGTCATTTGTTTGTTAAATTCCAAACTGAAAAAAGATTCTCCTAGGTAACCTCATCAAACATCGCCACGTGAGGGAAAGGACACTGCTACCAAGTTTGATAGTAATCTTGCTACCTAACTAATGTAGATTATAAGGTTTTTAAGGACTTGGGAGAAAACAAATGTTTTTACTACAGTACAAAGCACAGTATCAGTTCTTAATAAATAGTTGTTGGATGTATTCACACACTTGAGTCAGATTCTTATTCATGCAACCAGTCTTTGTGGGCATACCTTGTGCCAGGCATTCTTCTATGTACCAGGGGTATAGCATTTAAAAAAACAGGCTTGAATCCTTGCTCTCATCCACTCTCTATTCCAGTGGTGAGAGACAGAGAATGAGCAAACAAGCGAATGTGCAATATGTCAAATAGTGCTAAGTGCTAGGAAGACAACAGAACTGAGTTACAGGAATAAAGAGTGTCTGGGAAGAGGAATTCCTATTTTTAAACAGAGGATTAAAAGAGCTCACTGATAACATATGAAAGACCTGAGGAAGTAAGGGTGCAAGCAATGAGGTTATCTGAGTAAAGGGTATTTCAGGCAGAACGCAGAGAACCAAGTGAGAAATACAAGGGTCCTGAAGTGGGGATATACTTCTCAAGTCCAAAGAAAATCCAGGAACTACTATGCAGAGTGGAGGGAGCAAGGTGCAGAGTATCAGAGACAAAGCCAGTGAGGTAGTAGGGAAGAGACTTGAAGGCCATTAAAGGAACTTTGGAGTTTATTGTTTGTAAGGGGACGAAACCATTAGCATTTTAAACAGGGGAGTAATTTGGCTAGCTTACTTAAAAGAATCCTTTGCAATGCTCTGTTGAAAATAAACCAAAAAAATTTAGAGAAGCAGTAAGAGAAATTAGTTTTTTAATAAGCTGTTAAAATAGCTTAGTAAAAGATAGTGTCACATGAGTCAGGTTGGTAGCTGTGGGGGTAGTGAAAACTTGTTGGATTTGAATATACAGAGGTCTTCAAAAACATCATGGAAAATATGTATTATGAAAAAATATGCATGGATTTCAAAACTCACTTGCACTAAAATAAACTCATACTTAATTCCATTTTCTTCATGAATTTCTTAAAGTCTCCTTGCATACTAAAAAGAGAACTTACCATATTTGCCAATAGATTAGAGGAGGGGGTACAAGAAAAGGAGTAGAGTCAAAGATGACTCAAAGGTTTTTAGTTTGAGCCAAATATGGGATGATTGTGCAGTTATATGGGATGATTGTGCAGTTATCAGAATCGTCAGACATAGGAGACATATTATGATATGAGGCAAGGGAGAGAATCTCTGGAATAGGTAAGAAGGAGGAGGGAAGCTTAACAAGCACACTAAAAATTCATTCATTAAAAATAGGAAAGTAAAGCCAGCTCCTAGGCACAGTGGTAATGCGCTGTTCAAGAGAAGCTGGGTCCAACATGGCATCCATAGTTTGAATGCGCAGCCTGGTCAGTCCATAACATGCTGGACACATGTAGGAGAATGCAAGACCCTATAAGACAGAGGACTGGAGGAAGGGAAGCAAAGTGACCAGACAGGAAGAGGGTGCTCATTCCTTTCTTCCTCTCTTTTTCCCTCATACATCCTCATATGTTCACGTACACATGCTATCATGAATAAAGAAAAAATAGAAGGGTAGGACAGGTATTCTGTGATGGTGCAGGTATGTGCTGGGAATGTGGGAATGCTTTTCTGATTACTTTTGTTATCTTAGTTAATTGAGTAGCAATTGAAGGTAATAAGGACAGGAGGAGATAAAGGAAGTCAGAGGAGAGAGAAAAAAGTGTTAAGTGGTCACCTTGGAAAGTGGGAGAATGAAAGGATTTGGGAAATATGGTCTGGCAAAAGCAAGAGATTATTTAAGATTATGAATATATTCAGCAACATTGTGTTTTTTTCTAGACATATTTAAATGCTTAGGTGGGAATTAAGTTGGGTGACTATGATAAAGAGAAAAAGAGATAAGAGAAAGTCACGAGTGTTGAGTTTGTATACAAGAGAATTATGATTATCC